TACCCCTGTTTTATATATTTTTTTCCTATAGATTTTGAATATAACTTAAGTTTATGCTTAAGTATTGTCTTCTTGTTGCTTTTGTAAATGAAGTTTTGTCTTTTAAGCATTCACTTTACAGTGTGTTTGGAAAAAATTTATACTGCTCCTCTCACCCCCATCCCCCAACTGCCTGTTCTCCTCTCTTTTCTTATTGTTCTTACTAGTCCCTTTTATGTAATTAAGGTGGATTGATGGGGGAGATGATTAAATACTTCATATACCTCTAGATGTATGTATGAACCAGATCTCTGTGATGTTAAGGACCAAGACTTGGGGCAAATCCTAGGGAGGTTTGAATTTATGCTGTTACTTAGCAAGCTGTATCACTATCCATGCTAGCTAATTCACTGCTACTAAGGAAGAAGTATTAATACATGTGACCACTTAACTCTCTTGTAGATAATACTGTTCTGCTAGACTGTTTAATACGATATGGGTAGAAACAAAGCAAATAATAGGAGTGCTACTTTGGTTTAAATGTGGGGGTCAGGAGAAGAGCTGATGACCCCTGTTTACTAGGTTTTCATTATTTGATAATGACTGAAATCCTCTGGTCTAGTATAGCCTCATTGATAGCAGTGAGAATAAAAACACTTCACTATAATCCATGGTGACAGAGAGTGTACTGGAACTGTGAAAGAGTGTCTCAGTTTTGCCTTGAAGGGCCAGGGAAGGCGTCCTTGAAGAGAAGGCTTTTGAAGTGGGCCCTGAAGAATGAATAAGAGTTTACCAGGTGGATGGGGACAGTCTGGGCTGAGAACTGCCTGAGAAAAAGGTTCAGAGGCTGTGAAAAGATTCATGGAGAGGTCAGGCATCCATCTTTTCAGTGTGACTGGAGCGACGGATGACAGTCAGCAGGGACCAAGATGAAGTGGATGTGGAGATGGTATACGGTGTTAAGGTGATGATCTGTCATGAAAAGGAATTGAAGTTTTCTCCCAGAAAACTGTTTCTTAAACTTGGTGGTAGACAAAATTCTAACAGCATTGTAGGCTACAGTTTTAGTGTATTATTAGCTAAGTTTCCTGTCCTATAAACTTGACAGATACAGCTTCTAAATAATCAGTTTATCATGGTATGACTATACTCACTGAAGAATTATAAAATTTAGTGTTGATGTTCATTTTAATGTAGCAGGCCTTCTATGCCTTCAGAAATTAATACTGTATTTTAATAATGCTTTATTATGGGCTGTCAGAAGGTGATAAAAATGAAGAAAAGTGCTTGTGGGGTTCTGAGACTTTGCAGGATAGAAAAGAAATGCATTCCTATAAAAATGCAATTCCTTTGTTTCCTTCGAGCATTAAAAAAAAAAACTATTAGAGAATTAAATTTCCTTAGGTTTATTTGATCTTTTCTTTGGTTTATAAGCGTGTACCTTAAAAAATCTGAGTAAGAGTTTTAAGTTGATTAATTACACTTGATTTTTTAAAAAGAAATCTTATTTTTAAAAGGATTTCAGATGATTAATTATCTTTTGTGTTTGTTTTGGGTCTGTGTTAACTACAGCTTACATCTATTCATTTTTCAACTTAATTAAGTTAATCAGTCTTTTATGGTGCTCCTGCTTAGTGTTTTTATCTTTCCTTATCTATAATTCAGTGAGAAGTGTAATTTTTAAAAGAATTGTATTCAGACAGGATATTTATGCAAGTTTCGGCCAGAAGCTTAGTCATAGCCATGGAATGCAGTGAACAGTATACATTATAAAGGATATGAACCATCTTTAAAGTGTGAATTCATGGCTATGTCTACCAGCAAATCTGTTTTTATAGTCCATGCATATTTGTTAAATATTAGTTGTTGAGTGAATAAGAATATTGTTTAACAATTGCAAATTCAAAATAGGAACAAAACATTTTATGACTCTGGAAGGTATTTTTGGCATCATGCATTTTATTCTGAATTATTTCGTGATGTTTCTGTGTTAACTTTGATTTACTTTACACCTTGCTTATATTTGCATAAAGCAGCCTTGAATGTTTTCCTTCCATGGTACTGCCTTGCATATAGTTAACACTTAGGATTTGTTGCATTGAACTGCCATTCTGCTGTATTTTCCAAGATAGACTATTCTTTGAAATTACCTCAAATTGCCTAATTATGGTCATCACAGCCTCACTATTTCCCATTGTTCAACTGACAGTATAAATCATGAGCTTCCTAAAAATTAGTGTACTGGGTCCTGTGCTGGTGAAAAGATGGGAATGATTAACTGTATACTGAAAGGCTTCTCAGAGGAGCTGACATTTGAACCAAGCTTTAAGGATGATGAGACCCAGGCAGAGAAGAAAAGGTAAAGACAAGTCAGGCATAGTGCATAGCATATAGTATGAAAAGAGGTCTGGAGTCAGGTAAGGCACGTGTGGCCTCTGGGAAAAGGACACCTAGATGTAGGTTATATACAGCACAAATATGCAGGCACTGCAGACTATGTAAATGGCAGAATGCATTGTTTTTAGGCTATATTTAATATAGGTAGAAATTTTGGAAGTTTGTTTTCTCCCATAAATGTCAAATAGTGTGTGTCATATCATGGGCAGAAAGAGGTCTAGCTCATGAAACACTGTTTTTATTTCAGAAAATGAAAAAGAGCCTTGTTTTGGTTTTGTTTTTTCAGTGAAGAAGAAAAATTTTTTTTTATCACAAACACTGGGATTTAAATCACATGAAAATAAACTGAATCTCAAGCACCTACATACTCTTGGAAATCAGTAGGCTTCCTCTATTCTTAAATGCCTTCATGTTTTTTTCTTTTTCTTTCTTTTTTTTTTTTTTTTTTGAGACAGAGTTTCACTCTTGTTACCCAGGCTGGAGTGCAATGGCGCGATCTTGGCTCACCGCAACCTCCGCCTCCTGGGTTCAAGCAATTCTGCCTCAGCCTCCTGAGTAGCTGGAATTACAGGCACACACCACCACGCCCAGCTAATTTTTTTGTATTTTTAGTAGAGATGGGGTTTCACCATGTTGACCAGGATGGTCTCGATCTCTTGACCTCGTGATCCACCCGCCTCGGCCTCCCAAAGTGCTGGGATTACAGGCTTGAGCCACTGCACCCGGCTCATGTTTTTTTACTTATTGTCATATAGTAAAAATAATGATCACAGTAGTTTGGGCTTCCCATTATTTTCTACCTCTCAACCAGTGTTCAAGTGTTTTTTTGTACACAATGAAATGTTTCTTGACAGTATCACTTGGCCGGGCGTGGTGGCTCACGCCTGTAATCCAAGCACTTTGGAAGCCAAGGCGGGCGGATCACCTGAGGTCGGGAGTTCAAGACAGTATCACTTGATGAAGTTTACCTTCTTCAACCTGGCTATACCTTTAACTGTGAACAGATTTGTCATTTAACCCCGAACAGATTTGTGTATCTATTTACAGTACAGCACTTTGCCCAGATTTCCACCATTTATTGAGCTTTATCCTTCAACAGGATTTTTGAACTGGCATGGTTTTGTTTGCTTAATGTTTGGATAAGTAGCAATGTATGGTGGTTAATTAAGTGCATAGACTTTTGGAGCTACGCTGCTGGGACAAAATCCTGGCTTAGCCACTTACTGTATTTATAACTCTGAGAAAATCCTCTCTCCCTGCCTTAGTTTTATTGTCAGATGGGGATAATATTACCAATATTATAAACTTACTGCAAGGCTTAAATGTGTTAATACATATACAGCTCTGGTGCCCGGATGTAGCAAGCACTCGATGTCCTATTGTTACTTTCATTGCATTGTTCCTGGCTAAGTTTCCTCCTCTTTTTAAAAATTTTATTTTCAAAATAATTTTAGACATTTATCTTGAGTATGTGTGATCGATTTTTAAAAATAACTCCAAAGGTGATGGTTTTACGCAGTTAATGCTTAACGTTTTTTCTTGCTCAAAAGATACCAAGGTTTAGGATCTCTTTGCATCTCTACAGTGACAAAACTCATGTTATAAACAAGCATCCAAATTCATCCTCTTTTCCACAGACTAACTGCAGCTTCCTGCAGACTCAGTAATTGTGCTGGGGGTGGTGCTTTCATTTCCTCTCCCTCAGTGTGCTTGTGAACCTCAGGGATAACCTGACAGACTTCCAGTTCTGAATTTCTTTTGTGATTTTGTATTTTTCACTAACTTCAACTTCCATATAAATTGTTCTATTTTTAAGCCTCATCCATCTTTCTAATTGAAAATACAACACCTAGTTGAAAATACTAAATCACAGAATACCTGGTTGAAAAAACAAAGATTACAGACTGTTTCCACTTTACTACCACAGCCCTTTCCAAAATATATTTCTTGATATTAATACATTTTATAGTAAAAGAAGGCCTCTGGCCAAAAATATATTTTGGGACAAACAGGTCGAACAACACTCAACAAATTTATTTTCTGTTTTGCTTTTTAGACTTTTTTCCTGTGCTAGTCTGAATCCACATGAAGACTGTCTAGTATTTAACAGTTCTCAAATTTGTTTACCGTTGGGATCCTCTGCAGTTAGGGTTCTGTAGGAAGTGCTGAACTACATTATCATCTTTAATTCCTCCCACCGTATGCCTCTACCTCATTTCCTTCCAGTCCAGCCTCTGTTATTGCCAGAGTGGTTTTTGAAAGGTGGGATGCAGGTGTCATGTGTGGTAAAGCTCTTCTTTTAGCGAGTTCAGCTTCTGTTAGTTTCACCCAGATATCTGCAGGGCTTTTGGTTGTCTTCTTAACCGGTATCTCGGAGTCGTCTCTGCCCTTGCACATAGTTCTCCAGGATTCCTCCAGAGAGTTACCACGACTGTCTTTCTTTAATGGGAGATAATAGTTATGTTTAATTTATTGAAAATATTTGTTAAATATCTAATTTCTTTGAGATATTAAATGGACATTGTTCATATTAAACTGAAGCAGTTTGGAAAATAATTGAATTTATATATGTACCTTTGCCTTTTACATTTGTTTTTTATTTTTTTAAATTTTCTTTTCTCTAGTGTTCTTTTGAAGATGACAACATCCATTCCTTGTTAAAACCTTTAGAACTGGAACTACAAAAAACAGTGCATACATACTGTGGAAAAATTTACAAAATATTTATCAAACAACTGGCAAAAAGTATAAGAGATCTTTATGCCAGATCACCAAAGGAAAAGTGATTCTTAGTGACTGCTAAATCAAAGGGATGAAAACAACAAAGAATCAGAGGATAAGTGTGAAGGAATCATCTTGGATGAAGTATTCAGGAAGGAATTATTCATCTCCAGAATAATTTTTTTTCCTAAAGAAGTTAAATAAGCAGTATTTTCAGGTAATGAAGAATAAGTTAATATCTTGGATTCCAACAAAGAAACATTTTTGATCTCTGATGTTCTGTAATGTTACTATCATTCCAGTATGGTTTTAGCCTGCAGACTTCTGTTGACTCATACTCTCAAGTAAGAGTGGTAGGATTGTGTAGATGGAGAAAATGTACCTCAAACAGTGCAAACACTCAGACTGTGAGTAGAGCAATAATTTTATGTCAGCACTAACCTCACTTTACATGTGTGAGAAAAAAGTTTGTTTACAGGAGCAGAAACAGTTCTGTTTCTAAAGAAATGTGATGTAACTGATGTAACCATTGACAATCTATGTGTGCCTTTATACATTTCATCTCTGTTTTAAAATATTTTTATGACAATCCTGTTTAAAATTATTTTTAGATTATAAGTAAGCTGCATGTTAAAAATTGAGCTGTGTAAGAAAGGAAAAATGGTGAAAACTTTGGAGTTTTAATCTGTGTGTAAGAGAGAGAGAGAGAGAATGAATGTAGTGTTTTGTTTTGTATGCATTAAACTGTCTTGCCAAAACTCAAATTTAAGATGGTTAAGTAGATATTTGCAGAAATTTTTCTTTATCACTTTAAAGGAAAAATACCAGCTTTACTGGGCATTCTGGAATCAAAATATATTATGCTAATCATAAAGAGTATACTCACGATGGTGGAAAATGTGGTGGACCAAAATGCATAAGCTGTATACTTCCTGTGAGTAGTAATTTCAGTTACAATGAAGTTGAAAAATGTGGTCCATTTAGTTTTCTTCTACCTCATAATGGCTTTGCAAGATACTTTTGAAGAAGCAAATGTCTAGAGCCTTACTTTAAGTATGTTAAACAACTTTGGTGGATGATTTGGATTAAGATTGTTATATCCAGCTATAGAAAATGTGATTTTAATTGAGTTGATGTGCATATTTTCCTCTTTTGAATATCACTTAAGATAGTTAATTTTTTTAAATCTTGAAGATGAGAAAACTACTGCTTCTTTTGGCATTCTTGACCAGTTATCTAATATAACTATAGATTCTGAATACTTACCATATACTGTTCTGGGGCACATGTCTTATTTTACCAACTGCTTTATGGTTATCTTCTTTTTCTCTCTGATACTTTAATGCTCAAGTAGAAAATGGAAAATCATGAAGAAAAAATATCACCTGTGAAAATTGTGGCAGTTAGCTTTGTGAAGACACTGTGACCTCTGTGGAGACATGGAATATGCAGAAAGAGATGGTTAGTATAGTTGTTCTATCTTCTGCAGTTCAGTGAGGACAAATCGAGAGAGAAAAGTTTAAACAAGATGAATTAAATGTTGATAACCAGCCTAGCATTCTTAGAACAGATGGATTTAGAGAACACAAGTTGTAGTTCCTTGGCAGAATCCCATGGTGGATATAAGAAACTATGAACTGTGTTGAAATTGAGCTTACCGAATAGAAAATGAGAATACCAAAAACTTGAAGTTTGGAAGGGTATGTGTTAGATAATTTCTAATGGTCCCCAAATAAGATTATTGCCTGCCTGACTATATAAGACTTGTGTTGGGAGCTTAAGAATAGATTCCTAAGCTTAGGCCTTTTGAGACTCTGGCATGCTGTGTCTAGGATGGAGTCTGCAAAAAAAAATTTTTAGTGAAGAGATTTAAAAATTATGCAAAACTAGTGCATTGGTATTCAACTTCCAGATCTGACACTTAACCCTAATAACCCTATGCTTGCTTCATCTGTCGCTTTTTTCTTTGCTTAAGTATCATAAAGAAAATTCCAGACATTGTGTTATTTCACTGCTATGAACACTTTGGGTAGGTACCGTGATATCACACAGTCCTTTGGCTTCATCTCGTAGCCAGTCCTAAAGCAGATTTCCCTGATTATCTTAAATATGCCATCTTCTAGTTGGTTTGTTAGAATCAGGGCAGAGAATGTAAGTCACATGATTTTGTTTTCAACAATTACCTCAGATGACTTAGATGTTAGCTACTTTGGGAACCACTGGAAATTATTTTGCCAACTTGAAAGTTGAAGTTAGGATGCCACAATTCTTGGCACAGTTGGTGGATTATAAATGCAATTTTGAAATACTATATTAGAGGAAGCATTTGGGGTTATTGACAAGATATGAATATATATTAGTAAGTTTTTAAGATTTAATTTCCTCAGTGAATGGGGAATCTCAGCCTCATGGGCTCTAATTGATTGGGACTGTGTAGAGCAGGCATCCCCAAACTATGGCCCGCGGGCCACGTATGGCCCCCTGAGGCCATTTATCCGGCCCCCCACCGCACTTCAGTAAGGGGCAACTCTTTCATTGGTGGTCAGTGAGAGGAGCACAGTATGTGGTGCTCCTCCAACGGTCTGAGGGACAGTGAACTGGCCCCCTGTGTAAAAAGTTTGGGGATGCCTGGTGTAGAGCGTTGTCATAGTTTAATCCAGCTGGACCATATGCTGTGGTCTCACTTGTGTTGTGGCTTATTTACACTGAGACACGCACTACATTGTGGATCAGTTGGAAGTTTCTTCAGCTGGTTTATTTAGACCTGACCTAAGTGATCATTTTACCATAAATTGAGCTATAGCAAAAGCTTTCTCTTAGGTACTGTTTCTACCTAAAATTAAAGATATCAAAAAATATCTATAATAATTTTTAAATGAATTTTCTGAATTTCATTTTAGACAAGGTAACTCTTCTTTTGAATTCTAAAGAAATGAAGTTCTTGGAGTTGATGAGAGGTTAAATTATAGATGGAAAACTTAGAGAATATATTCTATTTTCATGTAAATGGTCTTTCATAAAACATAGTATATCTGTGCAGTTTATATAAATGACATGATTTATTATTTGAGTCTATGTATTACTTCTGACCTCAGAACTATCTCTGGGCTACAGTATTACCAAAGTGGGATGCCTTTAAGGTGCAGTCAAACTTCATTTTTATAAAGTAGAAAAGATCTTGGAAAACCTTTAAGAATATATATTGTGATTTACACTTTGAGAAAATGTATACTTTTCTTATGAAGAGTAGTTCATAATAGATGAGGGTTATAAGGCCCTGAAATGATATTAGTGCTTCCTCATTGCTCTCTTATCTTGCTTCCAGTCAGACGTTATTGGTATAGTGAAAAGAAGACCAGATTGTGAACTAGATCTGGATTCTCTTCTTAGTTAGTAACTCAGGCATGTTATTTAACCTTCTCTGTGCCTTAGGGTTTTTAAGTACAATCAGTGTATACCCTTTGAACCTCAAAAGATGAGACTCAGAAGAGATAATGGATTTGGAAGCATTCTGCATGGCTTACATTATGCCACACCAATGTTACTGTTGAAGTTCTGTTTTGCTATGTTGTTTTCTGTACAGAGCATTCAGTTTACTCAGGCTGAATATTTTCTGACATATATATATCTCCAGTATGAATTTGTTTATTTTACGTAAGGAAGAGTTTTTTGGGAAGAGAAAGTAGAGAAGAAAAGAATGATGTAACTAAATCAAAAAAGAAGGAAAAGAGAGGAAGTGAGAAAAGGGGAGAGGAAAGGGAAATAAATAAGAATGGGAATGGCAAAGGGCAGAGTAAGAGAAAAGATGGATTGATTGTGTGGAAAATGGAGAAGTAGAGAAATGGTGTGGAAACATTTACTTTTTGAGTTGTAGCTCTCATGCTCCATCACTGTTGCTTGCCTAGGCTCTCTGGGGTCGGTAAAGGTGCCGACTTTCATGGAATGGGGCAGCAGGGCCTGCTGTATTTGGTTTGTTGGTACTAGAGTTGTTTCCCAGTCACCTACTCACTGATAATTTGGTGCCAATTCAACAGTTTCTGTTTTGCTTTTTTTTTTAACTGGATCCCAGTTTGTGAGCTAGGTCCTGTGGAAACACAAGTGTCTTCCTTTTTAACTTTATCCTTTTAGCCATCCCAAGTGTTAGACTGCAAGACTAACCACATATGTCCCAGCTGAGGTTGGAAGTGGAGGGGACTGCTTCATTAGGTCTGAAAGGGGCCCAGGAATGTATTGTAGCAGTTTTCCCAGATGATACTGATGAGAGGCCAGGTTTGGGAATCATGGCTCAGCCTTGGATGGCAAATTAAACAACAAATGACACCTGTTTATTCCTCAGTTGGAATACTTTGAGTTGAACCACTGTGAGTAGATTTAAGAGAACAAAAGACAGCAGAAAATACCTTTAAAGATATTATTCATTGTCTTGTTTTTCAGATGTTTGTATTTAAGTAATACCTTAGTAATAATCAGAACTTCTTTGAGATGTTTTTAGAAAGACCACTGATTTGTTTTTTAAAATAAATTTTCCGGTTCTTGGAGTAGAGAAGAAAAGTAGGGGTGCAATATGTCAGGTGTGGGGCCAATTACCCATTTATTAAATGCAATTTCAGATGTCTTAAAATAATAATTGCCTTATTGCATTTTAATATTTAATAAAAGTAGATTAATGATTTGTATTATAATAGTTATTCTTTTATACATTGCCAAAGCAACCCTGTTTTGCCTATTAAAGTCTGGCTAAACTGTTCTGATGTTGTTTCTTAATTCATTAAACATGAAACTGGGTTTTAAAAGCTAAATTATATAAACTTAAGACAGAAGTCTAAAAATCATACGAGAAAATTCTTTTTTAAAAAAACTAAAATGTTAAATATCTAGCAATTAAAGAATCATGAGAAAAACAGAATAGCATATTAGATGTAACAGTTTAAAACTGATTGCAAATCAATGTCAAACTTTTAAATAGAAAATATTATCACCTCATTTCTACCAATAATTTCAAATGTTTAATGGTACTATTTCATTAGACTTTACTGTAAGCTCAGTTTTCCAACAAAAGCCTTTGAAAAGGTAAGAAAAAGTAGAAATGAAAATTTCTCTCACCGTGAATACTGTGAATACCATTTGGAGGGTCCCTGCTTAAACCTTTAAATATTGAACTGAAAAACTGATGTGGAACCTTTGATTATATTTAGTTTATATACAGGATCTAAATATTCATACACATTGCACACTATAGTAACCTCTTGTAAAAAATTGTGAAGATAATGCAAAAGTGTATACACTATTACAAAGTAAATTGGCTGGGTGTGATGGCTCACACATGTAATCCCAGCACTTTGGGAGGCCAAGGCAGGAGGATCACTTTAGCCCAGAAGTTTGAGACCAGTCTAGGCAACAAAGTGAGACCCTTTCTTTACAAAAAAATTTTAAAAATAGTCAGGTGTGGTGGCGTGTGCCTGTGGTCCTAGCTACGCAGGAAGTTGAGGCAGGAGGATTGGTTGAGCCCAAGAGTTTGAGGCTGCAGGGTGCCATGATTGCACCATTACACTCCAGCCTGTGTGACAGAGTGAGACCCTGTCTCTAAAGGAATTTGACTTCGTGAAAAATTGCCATCTTCAACCTTTGTATCAAATCTCTTTGGGGAATATTATAATATTTTTGTCAGGCAAAAATAATCCAGGGCTTGAGCATTGATGTACAATATGTTATCAGTTCAAAACTTAGCAGAGCATGCATGCATCACATGCATGGTCAT